AGCTCACCAGAGAACAGATGAAAAACATGTAAAAGGAGGTGGTTTAGGCAAATTCAAAGGCAATTCACACCTTTCATAAGTGCAGATGACCTGTCGATGCTCTTCTACAGAAGCCCCTCAACCCCTATAGGAAAGAAAGACTACACGGGTCATTCTATGCATATCCTTGTACTAGACCAGCTGGATCTTTTTCTCCCTTGAAATTGCTCATGTTCAGAAAGATACAATTCATTTCTTGAGGTGATGGGGGGTTTTTTGTTTGTTTTTTGTTTTCCCCAGTACATTGAAATGCTGTAGAGGTCCTAATGTTTCTTAACTGCCCAGAAACACACTAGTAAGCAAATCTTCTTTTATATGTAGAAACTGTATGGTTAATATTTGTTCACGTATAAAATCAATCAGTTATACAATCTGATAAAGATACTATTTTAAATAACTTGGCACATAATCTACAGTGTTTCCAAAGGGATGATGTGTTAATCAAGATTTCATTTTTTCCCAGAGAATGTCATTAGTCTCACATTCAACAAACGCAAGATGTAGAGAATGGCAACTATAAATAGAGTTTATATTGACTTCAATGTTGTATAGTACAAGTCTACCTGGTAGTTTTATGATATTCCTAGCTCGTAAATACTGACATATTCAATTCCTGGATAAGACATTTAAAACCATTGCTTTCCAGATTGCTTATCAGATAACTTCTAGTTCAAATCATACTGGCGCTGATAACCTTTGGCCTGTTTATGAACAGTAAAGCACCTGACTGTTGATATATTAGTTGGAGATCCACAAACCACAGTTCAAAATTCTTTATCAAAAAAGAAATTGTTATACATATAGGAAAGCCTACTTAACTCAGATTTTCCAATCCAGATGAATGATTAAAGTTCATGCTGGTTTAAAATGAATGCTAATTTCCATGCAAGTAAAATACAATACTTGAATAAATCCAAGTATCATTGAAGAGTTTTGTACGAAGGTGAGGTAAAGGAAGTAATATTGAAGTTGAATGTAGTCTAGACTAATGTTATATATTTTTAGGAGGTAAATGGTCCCAGTGTCTTTTTGGAAGTTTCTACAAAGTTCTTGCTGAATTCAATTGTGTCGAATTCAAAATGCAATCCAAATACTGGACTCGGTTTCTATTGCAGGACTTGTACCACCTCTGTCATTGGTTGCCTTTAAATTGAGACTTTCTAAAAATAAGTTCATATGTAGTTATTTAGCATCAGTAGCACTCACAGAGGAAGGAAATCCTTCATTTTGTTTTTGTTGAGACTACTTAAGCTATCTGTAAATGTTTTGATTATGAGGAACTCCTGAATCAACTGGAAGATGTTTGGTTTCATTGTAAACAAGATTGTGTTCATTTAATTTGGTACATGCACAGTGATTTATGTGCCATTATTAGAATAATTGTCATTTGTACATTTGATGGAATATTCTTTTCTGAAAATACTTAACTAGTAAGCAGTCTCAGTAGTGGCTCTGCCTCTAAAGATAGTAACTCAGCCATGAATATTTATATCACGTGTGTGGTTAACAGTGATGGAGGCAACTGTTCCACAGTTTTTTAGTCTGTCTGGAAGAGGAAAAGGCTGTAAACATGAACACATGTGCTTGCAGTCATTTCATCATATTCATAAGTGATAAGGGAAGCATTTTTTTTTAGTGAGGCAGATAAGGAATTCAAAACTACTTCTGTGCTAAAGTGAGTCAGGACAGCTGCGTGAAAATGTTTCTGTGTTAATATGTCTTCCATATTAATGCCCTTTTACAGTTAGACAAAAGTATTAATACTTCTGTTAATAAATTAGTGAATTGCCAGGTTAGTTAGTATAGTTGAAAGGAATACAGGGTTTGTAGAAAGTAGTAATACTAGTAATCAGTTATTAGTTTTATGTTGAAGAGTCAAGCTCGTACTCACATGCTTGTTCACCTAGCTGAGTAGCAGTTGACCTCAAGCACAGTGTTACAGTGATAGGTATGTATGAAGTCTAACAAGGGCAGAGTAGTATGTGAGTGTGCTAAGCATGAGGAATCCTGCTTCGTGACTAGCTGAAAGGCTGTCAAAGGACAGAGCAAGCCAGGAAGACGTGCCATATGTTCCTTTTTCATCTGCTGCACTATGCAAATGACTATAAACAAATAGCTCCTATATTGTCATTGTATTTGTAGCACGTGGGGTGTCCTTACTCCTTTTCCCTTTGCTAAAGAGTGATATGAATAGCATGCTAAGATAAATTTGCCTTATATGTGTGATTTCAGGGAAGTAGTTCTGTAATTTAGCTGCCTTTTTAATAAATCTACTCATTTGGTTTAAAAAGTGACTAAGAAAGCCTATATAAAGCACTCTTTTGTAAGTCATTTTCTATGTGATGTAACAGCAACTCATCAGTCTATGAGCTACTGGTTTTAGTTGAATGTTTTTGTACTGTGTATTGCCATTAAGGAGGAGAAACTGTGACATTTTTGCCTAGTGATGGTTCTGTGAGAATCAAAATCCAGTTTGCGCACTGCTCCAGTAACACATAAAGAAACTTAACAAGTTGAATGTACTTGCATACATTTCACCAGAGAAAATGTGACATGATGTTTTAGCAAGGTGTAAATTATGGAAATCAGTGGGACATTGGCTTGACAGTGGGACATTTATTAGACAAAAGTAACAATGACCAGTACAGGATGTTATAGACATGATATCTTAGGAGAAAACATTCCATTCTGTTTACTAGTCAGTGTGTTCTAAAGAGTATTTTTTTTTTCCCCATTTAATAGTTTACCAAGAGTATTTCTTCACCAAGCTCAGTATTTTTTTGTTTTTTGACTTTCTGATCTGAGCTCTTATCCACTGCAGATCTGTACTGGTTTGTGTACACATATGAAATGCCAGACTCCCAAAGACATACATGAAGATAAAATTGTGGTTAGGTAGAGGGCTTTGGATTAGAGCTTTGAGGGAAAGTGATTTTCATTACTGCTTTTAAATAAATTATTCTGTTATTGCCAAGTTAAAATGAGGTGTTGATCATGGGGTCTACATTTAATGTGAAATTGCTCTAACAGGCATGAACTCGTTAATCAGTGTGGAAATTTGCTCCAAAATTCATCTTGTTCTGAAAATTCATCATTCTGAAGCTGTATGATGGATTATGATGCCTTGTGGTCTTTCAAGTAGTGGTGATAAGGAATTAGTGGAAATATACAGCACTGAAGACTAACAAGCAGACTGTAACTATTTGCTTTGCTTTCATTAGGTAAAAAATGATTAAGAGGCAGCTGCTTTCTAATCACGAGAATTCTGAACTACGATAGCAGAGCCCATCATGCCTGATAAGGTGCTTTTCAACAGGACATTTGCATCGAGGCAATGGTTCATGCATGACTTCAACACTATAAATAAAAAGAAAAAAGGGACCTGACAGTATCAGAATGCAGATATTTGTTGCAAAACCATGTCTATTTACCAAATAATAGTATTATATACTTTCATCTGAATGGAATCTACGTTTTGAGATTCAGAGTAATCTTCCAATATACAGGTGAGAGATATTTAGTTCTTTTTTTAAGCATATGCTTTGTATGTGGTGCCTAAATTGGCCGTTAGCGCGGTTGTGTTACTTTGTACAGCTCAGTAATCTAAGCAAATGCAAACCTTACGTGTCTACTAATATTTCTTCCTTGTTTTCAAATTTGTATCATGGAAAATGTATTCTAAATGCTTGTATTCAGCAAAAAGTGAATCTCAGCAGATTCTCTTGACTTTTCTACTGACAACTGAAAGCACTTTGCTTTTGTGCTAATTTAAAAAATTGAAGTAGCTATAAATGTAATATTTATCAGTTCATCTGGAATTTTGATTCAATGCCTCAAAGTTAATTTGGAAAGTGGGCTAATTAGCAATTATTAAATTGAATTATACATATGATTCAGACTTGAGAAGGATAATTCTGCAATTGCTGATGCTACAGTTGGAGTTTACCTTGACTAAGCATCATTGAAAATATAAACATACAGTAGTGTCAGTGGTGCTATTCAAATCTTTAACAAAAACAGTCTCTAGATAAGCATTCAACTTTTTAATTAAGGACAAAACACTTTGAAGACATATTTCCAATAGATTACAGCATTTATGATGCAGCTCCCCTTAGGAAATTAGAGAGATTTAAGCTTCTAAGCTCGCAAGGCATGTCTGAAAATCTCAACTCTGAGCTGTAGAGGAGGCAGAGTCCTGTCCAGTGCCTCTGGCATGACCTGAGCGACACTTGCCTATCAGGGGAGATGGAAAGGAATTCAGGGGATTTGCGCTGTTCTTGATACTGCAGTACTTTGTCCTAGGCTGAGCAAACAACCATCTGGTATTAGGATTTATAGCTGACTGTGCTGGGAACAATTTCAGATGGAATTTCTTTAACAGAAAAGGTATGCATGCTCTCTGGGAATGCTAAAATCTTTATAGGCAATTTATCAGTTTTGAGTTCAGTTATAAGTTTCTGGTAACAGTCTGACTTTTCTTCCTCTTAAAGGGAAAGCACACAACTCCGCTGCTGCTGCTTGTTTCTATATGCCACAAAAGTAATGATTGATTTATATGGTGGGAAATATGTAAAATTCTACTGATGTTCCTGATCACCTTTTCTCAGTCTCTGGATAGAGCATTCATATAAGCCAAGAAAGCATTCCTTTACATAATGCATGTTGTTCAAAAATATATTATGGTATGATATGAAAAAATTTAGGTAAGAGTATCCTTCATCTTCTGTTTCTGGTTCACTTTAATTATTACTATTTTGGCAGTTCCTTTATATCATCCTCTTAATGGGTGGTTTCTTTCAGAACCTTCTGAATTCAAAGTCCTTCACCTATTTGATTTCATATTTGTCTTCATTTAATTATAAATATCACATGTGATGTAGTTGGGAAAAATGGAAGGACAGCAGAAGATGATATAAATATCATCAGTTGTTTTTTTTTTTCTTTAATGAACATCGATATTATCTGAGGAACTACAAAACACAAAGTGGCAAACTGATTGAAATTATTGTAAAACAGAATTAGTAGACATCTGGATAAATTAAAAAAAAAAGAAAGAAAGAAAGAAAAGAATCAACATGAACTGAACACTGAGAATGAAAACTGTGTGACAAGTGTAGAGAGCATGAATGTAAAATGTTTGGACTTGTAAAATGCTTTGTGCGAAGTACCTTACTGAAAGCTCTTGAAGAAGCTAAACTATCTGACGGTGGGAAGATCATCCATGGTATAGCAACTGATCAAGAGATCCAAGTAAATGATCAGTTTTTACAAATAATGAAGAAAATACTCAATGAGGTCCCCCTGGATCTACAGAGACCCAAATGCAGCTGTACAAACTATTCACAAATGACCATGAAAAGGAAGTAAATACTGAGGCAGGAAAGCTTTCAAAACATAAAAATCTACACAGCAATATCACAACTGTGGCAGATAGGAAGGAAAAGAAGAAAGTTTTAGCCAGTGCTGAGCAGCTAGAAAATAAAATCTATGGAGGCTTCCTGAAGGGAAAATACAAAACAGAGAACTTAAAATTGTTGATAATCACAAAAGGGATTTGAGAGCTATTTGTACAGAAAATTCCATCATCTGTGACAAGAGGAGACAAATTGAATATTACAACTATTATCTTATGAGTAGAGAACAAACCAGGAAAACATGGTGATGCTGTTTCAGAAATCTCAAATAGGTGAATTTGTGGTCATTCATTTCGAAGACTAAAGGAGTACCATTAGAGAAAACACAGAGAAGGTGAATGACAGTTATCAAAAACAAGTAATGGTTTCCATACAAGAGAAGTGGAATAAAACATGCCTTGTTTCAAAAGACATTATTAAAGGTAAGTATAGCATAAAATTAGTAGTACGGAGATGGTGATTCATTGTTTCTCAGAAGTACAAAAGCTTATGTAGTAATTAAAACTAAAGATGGAGGAAACACTTTCTTTGCATGTTATTTAATTGAATTGCTGAACTCATTGCTGGAGGGAGCTTTGGAAACCAAAAGCAGAGAGATTTTAAAAGGGATTACACAAACATTTGGGGAAAATGTCCGTTTTTTGACACTAAATTCAGTGATCTAAAAAGCTTTAATAGCTGATCGTTAGGATTGCTTTTTACCATCCTGTTTCTTGCACTCTTTCTCAGAAAAGTTGTAACTTTTTTCACCATAGAGAAAGCAGAAACAGATGGACCATTGGTCTGACCAGATCTTGTAGTCTTTCGGTGAAATTTTTCCTGTGAGGGTGTTCAGTGTCATGCTGAGACATCAGTTGAGCAACGTGAGAAGTTCAGTGTAGAAATAACACCCCTTTCAAAGTACTCTTTCTATTTTTATCTACCACCCCTCTCCACTGTGGCAAGCATGCCAACAGCTAAAAATACACAGGTCCGTAAATAACATCAGGACCAATTATGTGTGGCAGTGATTTGCTTGTACCATAGTTGTACACATCACTTCTGTTAATCCATCTTACTAGTTCATAATTCACAGCTGCTCCTTCCAAGTACTCTGGTAACTGCATAGCAGTGCCAGAAATACTGAAATCCAGCAAAGTCCAGCTTTGTTAGATTAAAAGTAGAACTCTCAATTCTTCAAAGATGCCTCACTAAACACATTCTCTTATGAGTTCACATCTAATGAAAACTGAGACCAATTAAATGGTCTCCTGGTCATTAGTATAGAAGCTTTACAAAGAGCGAAAGCCGGTTTTGAAATGAATTCCAAGCCATACAAATTGAAACTACCCTTTATTTTCTCCTTGCAGTAAGTTAGTAGGCAGGAGGAGTAAACTTTGCAGACACATCTGCCAGTGCAAACATACTTACTGCAGTTATTTGTATGGCTGCCTTTGTTTTGAAATAACTAATTTATTTTCAGAATGTACCCGTGGGGTAAACCTATGATAGCTGTGACTATCCCACAGGCATCATGTATTTGTGATAATTCAGCATTTGTTATAACACTATAAAAAAGAGGCAGCGTATGTGAGAGATCATTTCATTCCTTCAGTTCCAAGGGTTGAGGAACTTTGGATATCAGGAGACACAAATGATGATTTTTTTTTTCTCTTCTAAAACAACTGTTGGTAAGAAAGCTAAAAAGCCATTAGGTGGTGCCATGAATTGATACAGAAAGAGAGTCACTTTCTACCTTGTACATTCATATTTGCAAGATAACCAGGAGCATGGGTATACTTATTTAGCTGAGAAAGCTGTCAACAACAGTCTACTGGTTTGTGACCAGCTTCATACTGGTGAGAGTGCACTGTGCAGAAATACATCAGCTCACAAAATCAGATTGAAAAAGTGCATAAAGTGAGTATATTTTTTTACATTTGTTAAAATTAGACTTGAGTTATTTAGACTGAATAAATTAAACAACTACTTTCCTTGTAAAATCATAACCACCTTCCAGGGCTTTTATTTATCATTACAGTGTTTAGGAGGGAAAAAAAAAAATCTCATAGGATCCCTGTGTTATTCTGCTATGAAAGAGCTGTTCACTGCATTACTGTTACAAAAGTATTATTTCATTGCCATTCTGTATACACCTCATGCTTAAAGAACTGCAAATTTCATTTGCTGTCAAGTTTTGTTTCATTTTATGAAAAGTGAACTTGAGTTTAAACTATTATAATATGGAATAACCTGTCCTGTGTTTAAAATGCTAATAAACAAACAGAACTTGTATCTGATATTAAATCATATTTCTGAGGCTTTTAAACTAAATAATTTATATATATTCTGTTTGTCTGATTAAAACTTAACACGAGCCTGTAAAAGTAACATGCATGTTAAAGATCTCTAAATTTCCATCACAGTGAACAGAAAGCTACTGATGTCTTCTGATCATGATTTCTGAGCAGTGGCAGGTGGGAAGAGATTGCCAGAAAATCCTGCGACTGAAAGATCCAGCCAGAGTCATGGCCAAATATTAAATCACATAATCCATACGAGTAGTAAACATTTGTTGGCTCAGTTATCACTGCCAAAGTGACGGCTAAGAAGGGGGGAAAAAAGAGATCATTCATTTTCTAAGGACTCCCTGGGAATGTGATCTGAAATATTTGGTATAGATGAATGAATTGCTTTTCTTTGCTTGCTTTTTTCTAAACACATAGTATTTCTTCTGCATCATCCTAACACTAAGAATAACTTTATCATCCTTTCTGCGCAATTAATATGAACTTACTCTATAACCCTTTATTTTATGGTGTATTTGTATGCAGGTAAACTACAGACTTCCATCTGAAGGGAGAGGAGATAATTTATTCAGTGAAGACATTTATAATGCAGATCCTGGCAAACTACATTATCCTAAGGATGTAAAAGTAAGTCTTCTGTAATCATTCCATGGTTACTGAACATACTTTAAAATGTATTATTTTAGCATCATTTGTTTCATACATATTTGTCTTTTGTTTTTCTGTAACTTACTTTAACAATCACTGTTTTGAAAAGTGAACTGTACAGACAGGACTGTTCAATGGCATGTTTGCTGGAGCCTATTTTCTTTCAATTAAGACCTTCTAGTTATGCATCATTAGAGGATACATATTTTTATATCAAGTTCTGAATGATGAGTTGATGTAAAAATCTGAATATTATGTTAATGGAGGTACAGACAGTGAGACAGATCAGGAATTAAAGTATAAAATCAAGTAACTTCAGTGTAAACATTTAAATCATAGTCATCAATGAGGAAAACACCTGTGTCAGAGTTTCCACTTCAAATCTATTCTTATCACTGCTGCCAGAAGTACTGATAAGATGTCATGAATTAAAATAGAAAGGCAAGAGAGGATATCTTTACACCTACCTCTTTCCCTACAAAAACACCGTTGTTAAAATAACTAGTACAGCGTGCCAGTCGTGATCATTCTAAAACTGCAGAATTGCAATTTGTGGGAGGGGAAAAAAAAAAGACTTTTTAATCAAGAATCTTTAAGTATATTTCACCGTATTCTGAGACTAAAGAATTAGGAACTAAGGCTATGAAGTCAGCCTGAAAATCTTTGTATTTTTTTCTTAGTATCGGAAATGAAATAAAATTCCCCACACTTGTAACTTACTGTCGGACAAAAATCCTAGATTTAGGCCTGGTATCTGACTTGTAGCAAATATTATTTTGAATTCCCCTATACCATGTAAGGAAAGTGTCATTAGTTAACTCATAGCTTCTTCTGTAAAATTTTGTATTCACAATTCAGTGAGGAAACTGAGCTAGAATCAGTTATCATGGCTTTTCCACAGATTCTTAAACTTTATAAAAAGTGTGCTAACAAGTCGTCTCAAGCTGAATGAGCTGTACCCTGGCTGAGAAAATGTCTTCATTGTCAGCTTTCTCAGACTGTATAGAGAAGGTAAGAAATAAAGCTAAAGTATCAAAATGATTGTCTTTTAAATTCTGGTGCTTAGCTGGATACCCAACCAGTATTTGAGAAAGAACCACACGTGAAAAATATGTTTTAATTGGACTGTAAAGGAGACATTCCAAACCATCATTTACAAGGTTTGAAAGGCTTAGTGGATATCTGAAATAACTAGGTCAGTTCTTCTTTTAAATTTATCCATATAACTATATATATATTAAATTTCAGGTTCTGCAAATGAAGCATTGAGATGCAATGTTTCCAATCAAATTCATATTTACATATTTCAAGTTTATTACAAATCTAATACCTCCTTATTTTGTCACAGTTACTGAAGTCAATGACAGGACAGCCTGGGAAGTCAGATAAGGTAAATTTGATGTTATAGAACAATTCTGACACTACTGAGTCCATGGTAAAACACAGTGATTTCAATAAGAAATCAGAAATCAGGAGTGACAATCCTAGAAGATCATGCAGATACTCATTTTGAGGATGATCATCTCATATGCATCTGCTTTGTACAAGGTTCCAAGATTCCTACTCATAGTGGCTGCTGCTATAATCTCAGTGTAGAAAAAAATGTGACATTATACATGAGGAATGTCATGAAAAACACCACAATAATGATAATTAATGTTTCTAAAATAATTACTATACTGAATCAAATAGTAAACAAATAGAAAAATTAGTTAGTTTAGGGAATATACTTCAGTAGAATAGCCAGAAGCTGTCAGGAGTTGCTCAGTGCAATAATGTGAAGCTTCTGTGTCTCTTTCCCCACATCCAGCCAGTTGCAAGGCTTAGCATACCTTTCCAACAGGTGTACGTGCCCATGTGAACATACTTATAAGCATGTATGCATAAATGCATAAAAACAAATATATGTAGGTGTATGGGAACTGCTGAATCACGGCCTGAATCTCTGATTGATCACCTGAGGCAAGCAATGAGTCAGCACAGGAGCACAGGTGAAGGCAATTCAGCTGTGCTGCTGGAAGTGGTGGAGACTGGCTGCACCTCTCCTTGACCCAGCTAAGAGCTGACCACCAGCAGGAAGGATCTCTTCTGGAGATCCCTCCTCTGGAGTTTTCCACGCGAGCCCAGGGTATGGGTGAGTGTATCTATCATTTCTGTTCCCTGCTTTCGTGTAACAGCTACGTAGCCGAGCTCTCTGCTGTATGGTAACATCTGTATATTTATTAATTGTATAGTAGGCATATATGCACATACATATGTAGGTATACGTATAGCTGTGTACTCACAGGCCTACAGGGCAGGTTGTAGAGAAACACACGATGTTCCTGCAAGTATGAACAACATTAATGGCATGATCTTGTTCACTACCTTCACTATGGCTTGTGGCTGTAGTGGATTCTTTATGTGTTATTTTGCAGTATTACTGGGAATGATTTTCTCTATGCCAACAAAGAGGCTAGATTCAATGAAATGATACAACTTTGTGCAGGAATCCCCAAAAACATCTCTTGCTGGGAAAACTCAAGATAGTGTTTGCAGTGTGAAGAAAGGGCATAAACTCTGTGGACAAACCATAGGCTGATACATGCTGATTGATAGGAATGACTTACAAGTCTGTATGGGACACAAAAGAGAAGAACACTAAAAAAAAAAGTGAGAAAGGAATTTAGCTTGAGGAGGGAAACAGGTTGTGTAGGATCTCTCAGGTGTATTTTAGTCCTAGAGCAGGGGATACAGTATAGCAGAAAAAAGACAAGAGGTGGGTGCAAGCAGAATGACAGGTGAGAACATAGCCTAATTTGTTTGTGCTGAAGGGAATTAGGAAAAATGCAGTACAGTGAGAAAAGAGGAAGCTGCATAACTGGAGGAGGGAGACAATCGTGTTTGGATCTGTTGTTTCCTAGGTGACAAGATCAGAGAAGGGATTTAGAGCTGATTCATGTGATACATACATACATACATACATACATATATATATGTATATATATATATATATATATATATATGTAAATAAATTAATAGCAATGCACCCCAAATTATTGGGATTAGAAGTGAGAGGACCAAAAGAAAACAGGAAGAGATCAAGGCTGCAGCTTTACTGACTGGAATTAGTCTTGCTTTCCTTTGTTTTCAGTGTTCTTATAAACCTGATAAACACTGTAAAATCTGTAGGTGACCAGTTCTCTAGGGTGGCAGTGTCTCTAACAAATGCTCATTTGTAGCAGGCAATTCTGTTTGCCTCATATACAGGTACTAAAATGGCTGTGGTAAAAATATTTGAAACACTAGAGAATGTATTGAAATCAGTGAACCTCAAACATTTATGGAGACTTTTATTTTTATTAAGACTTTATTTAGCAAAAATGCTCTGGACTGCAGTATATACTCCAGAGTCAATGTTCTTAAACATATACGCAAGTTTTATAATTTCAAATTACAATAGTTATTCTGAACAGAAATCCGTATAAACGACACTTCCAGATCTAAATACCATTTGCCTTTGAGGCAGTTCTGATATGAAATAACATAATTTATGTTTTGGGCCCATATCTAGATGGCGTAATTTGAGGGTTTATATTTTGTGTGTCTTGTAATCTCGAAAGGTAGTGGTTTCAGAACCCATGAAGGAAACTTTTGATAAATCTTTTGTATATTTTCAGATATCTTGCTAAAAACCTTGTCTTTTTCAGCCCAACCGTTTACTCTATATGCTGTTAATAAAATGGTTTGCCTTGAAGTATCGCTCATTGATCTGGGTGACTATATTTGGCATTTAGATTTCAGAAGAATAAGCATACCTTATTTGAATATTTCAAACAATTGATTTTGAGCCCCCTAAATGCCTCGTGGGGAAGATGGCTTCTCTTACTGGAATTGCAGTCTAAGCCCACACAGGTGGGCTGATGTGGGCTGTAATGATGAGACTACATTTCCTGACACAGAATGTGGACCTACTGCCCAAACTAGAGAATTACTCCTTTACTTCAATCTAACTTAAAAGGAAACTTTTATTATTAATCAAAAAGAAACAAAATCTGTAGGGGGAATGGGTACCCAACTTTTGGTCTGCTTAATAGCCACTCAGACCTTTCGTGAGCACCAGAATGCAAGAAGCTGCAACTAGACGAAACTGTTAGTCAGATGAAGGTCCTTTTTTAAATCCTGATTGATTGCTTTGAAGAGCAGCATAGACAAATTCCTTTCTAGCCTTTTTTCTTGATTTTATATTCAAAATTCAGCAATTCTTATGGCACCGATTGATCATGGTGTCAAATGCCTCTGCTCAAGGAAGCCTACATTTTGTTTAAACATCTAGGGTTTTTTGTTTTGGGGGGTTTTCTTTTGCAAAACAAATAATCCATCAATGACTTTTTTTTTTTCCCAAAAGAATTAAGAGTACTTCCATTTCAAAGTGTCAGCTACTCCTGATCTTTCCTGTTGTCAACTATCCAATGAATTTCAGGTACCAGAAATAGGCTGTAACCTGTGTCATTTACAGTCTTGTTTTTTCACTGTAGTGGAATTTTATTTAAAAATAAGAATTACTGTATTTTATATGTAAAGAAATGGTTTGTATCAAACATTTTACTTGTGCAAGTCAAGCTTGAACTCTTTTGTGCAACAGTGTATTGATTGCATGTTTGGCCACTTGCAGAATCATTTTCCCTTGAATATTATAACTTTCTAAACATGGTAAACTGAAGCTATTTAGTCAAATTCAAACTCATCTAGAATGTGCCTGCCAGTTACACAGAGATCTGGAAGTCCTGCAGCTCTGGTCTTCTCCTGAGGACCCATCACAGTTCCTGACATGGTTCCACCTGGGCCCTGCATGCATCTTTAGCAGGGGACAATCAGTGCAGGCATTGCACAGTAACTCTCACTTCAACCCTATGCCTGCCTGCATAAGAGATTCCACTATAAGGTGCTGCTGGCCTGCAACCCTTAGAACCCCACAGAGATCTGCATGCAGGGGACCTTCATCAGCATGGATTATTTAAGATGTTGTTCGTTGCTAATCAGAACACGGCCACAAAGAGCTTTAAAAAAAGGTTGCCATCGTTACCTTTGTTCCTCAGTTGGGATACTATAACACATGAAGATGCAAACTGGTTTGGGCCTTCATAATTCTCTTTCATAAAAAATAGGCTATTTTGGTCTATGGCCCAAAATACCTATGGTCAAAGAAATTAGAAACAGTAGAATAAGGAACTCCTGAAATGTGTATAAGGCTAGCTCAGCTTTTTATTTACAAAATACCGTGTTGCCATAACACAACTGATATCTACTATGTGAAAATATCTTTCTTGAAATTCCATAGTTGAAATTACTTTCTGTTGATGACCATCCACCTTCCAGCTTGCAACCTAGCTATTGTTCTGAAACATAGAAATGAGACAGAATATCTGCTGAGCTCCCCCACATTGTTTCCAAGAGAAAATGACCATACTCTTCTGCTTCTGTGCTGAGAATGATTTAACTTTGTACTAGAAATAATAAATTAAAATCTTTGACCCTTTCATATAAAATTTCAGTACTAACAGATATTTCAAATGTTTTCTCTTTCAGATTTTATGTTGAAGGTACTCAGTTCCTTTGGGAACAACTTATAAGTACTATTGAATTGTTAGTATTTCTTTACGGTAGGGACTATTAGCTACACAGCATTTCTGAGACAACCGTATAGTGGAAACCTATATAACAAAGAAATATAGATTCAGAAGGATCAACACAGTATCACCATTATACATTTTGAATGCAACTGCTACTTCTGCCACCTGGAGGAGCAGTGCTTTCAAATGAAGTACAAAAAGTTACCCAAAAGATAAACTTCTTTCCCTGCGTGTACATGGAACTTCTTACAGATCTTTATGTTATTTTAAAACTAACTCCTGATTTTACAATGACTAATTACTAATCTTCTCAGGTTTTAATGTATGCAATTTTTCTATTAGAACTTAGTTATAATTTTGAAACTGTTTTTGAAGTTTCCAGATAGTTAACATTTGCAAGATGTTTTATGCAGACGGTAACAGAAAATGTAAAGAATTATCTTCTCACCTTAACTGCTTCTAGTCCGTACTACACACATGGTAGTAAAGAGATAGGACTGAAGTACAGTCTTACAGATTCTCTGATGTTTATTTTATCAGCTTCAATCACTAATTAAAACGATAAAATCTTATAAAGAAATCCTGCATGTCAATTAGCTTAAGCAATTGTAGCTAAATATTTAATAATTATTAAGTAGTTCCTATACAGCTGCAGTGATGATTAATGAAATGGTGCACACTTCTAATTACATCCACACTGTCTTTGGTAACAATGTCCAAGTGTGCACTTGAACTCCTACTCCTATCGGTGTGCACTATGCAGCCACACCATAGAGGCCTTAGGGCCTGCAGCACA